CCATGCCCATCCCCCCTCCCCCCCACATCCATCAGTCCTCAGTTTTTGTCAGCATTCAAGAGTCTCTCATGGTTTGCCTCTCTCCCTTTCCCCCACCATTTCCGCCCTTCTTCTCCCGCTTGTTCCTCCGTCAAGTTCCTCCTAATCCTCCTATAAGTGCAAAAATATGATATATGTCCTTCTCTGCCTGACTTATTTCAATCAGCAAAACACCCTCAAGGTCCATCCATGTTGCTACACATGGCCAGATTTCATTGTTTCTCATTGCCATGTAGTATTCCATGGTATAGATAAACCACATCTTCTTGATCCATTCATCTGTGGATGGACACTTAGGCTCCAGGTGAAATTATTTCTAATAATACATTTTATTTAACACCTATATCCACAAGAGTATCGTTGCAACTTGTAATCCATACAAAAACATTATGAATGAGATATTCTATATTTTTAACATTAAATCTTTGAAATCTGATATGCACCTTACATTTACAGTATATCTCAGTTTAGAGGAGACATATTTTAAGGGCTAGTAGCCACCATATTGGGTGGTACAGCTATAGAGCAAAAAGCTTCTGGAAGAGTGGTCTTCAACTAGCTACATCAAGAAAATCCAGAGAATCTTATAAAGAATGTGAATACCTGAGCCCAATCCCTAATGTATCAGATCATATCTCTGGGGGTGGCATTTAGGGGTCTCTATTTTCTAATGGGTTTCATAGCTGGAGTTTTGCTTACTCAAATTTAAGACCATCTGCGAGGCTCTCTGTCCCGAATTTGTTCACAGCTCTTTAGCCATCACCACTACAACCTACCTCACAGTCACATAAGCCACTAGACACAATCATACAACCCAGTCTATTCTTCAAGCGACTCATTCAGTATGTCTGGAACACTGATTATCTGTCTCACACTGTTCTAGGCCATGGAGACAGAGGCATGAGCAATACAGCCAAATCCCTGCCCTTTGGAACCTTATATCCTGGTGCAGGAGACAGACAATGAGTAAGTAGAGGACTAAATAAGTGATCTAATTTCAGGTGACAGAAAAGAAGAAGTAAGGGAAGGATAGGAAACGGTTGGGGTGGGAAGGGCAGAGGAAGGATTGTGCTATGTAGACTCGGTGCACTGGTCTTGGAGGGGTCTGTGAGGAGGTGACCACTGGAAGACTCTACAAGGAGGGAGGAAGCCTCAGAGCACCTGGGGGAGGACCCTGTATTACAGCCAGCAGCAGGAGGGTCAGTGGGGCTGATGCTGAGGGAGCCAAGGGGGGCAGCTCAAAGAGGAACACAGCCACCAACCAAACAGTCTCTGCAAGGGCACATCAAGGCACTTGGGATTTGTCCCAAGAGCAATGAAAATCCCCTGGCAGGTTTAGCAAGGGCATGTGACATAATACCCAATGGATGTGGCTGTGGAAATGATTCAGGAGAGATATAACATCAGCTCAGACAACAAGGACAGCCAGGGGGATGTGTTTTGCATAGAGCTGGTAGAATTTGGTAAGGGATCGATGGTGGGGAAGGAATACAAGGAAGGACTGAGAGACAGTGTCTTCCTTTAGGGCCTGAACAACTGAGTGATGAGTGGGACATTGCCTGACAAGGATAAGGCATAGGTGGAGAGGGAATATAAAAGTCCAGTTGCACAGCAGGGACATTCTTATCATGAAAATAGGGTATTTTAGTCTAAATGGAAGGGGAGGGTGGAGTTCACTTACTGTTTGTCTCAGCTTCATCTGTTCTATCACTGTACTATTTCCCACAGAGGATAAAAGGTAATGAATGAAGCTTCCCAGCTCCCAAGGAGTTGGGAGGGACCCCAGACTCTCTAATAGAATTCTCATGTGTTCACACGTGCACGCGCATGCACGCACACACACACACTTCACCCTGCTTCTGCACAGAAGACTCACAATCTCACCATCCATCCAGCTCCCTTTGGCTCCTCTGACACTGGAAGATAAGGTGGGTAGTCAGAATCCTAAAAAGACCCACAATTCTGTATAATCTGCCCCTTGCCTTGAGTGTGAGCAGAGCTTGGATTGTAATTTCACTAAGTTACATTATAAGGGGAAAGTGAAAGGATTTTGCAATGTCATTATGGTGCTAAACCAGTTGATTTTAAGTTAATCAAGTTAAGAGCTTGATTTTTAAGTTGTCAAGTTAAGAGCTTGACCTGGGTGGGCCTGGCCTAATCAGGAGAACACTATAAAAGTGGGTCTACAGGTCAGAAAGGAAAAAGGCACCAATGTGGCTCTCCTGTTAACCTTATTAAAGAGATAAAATGCCATGTTGTGGAGAAGCCCATGTGTCAGGGAAGGGGCTACCAGGAGCTGAGGGCCTTTCTCCTGGAATTGCAAAGAACTGAGTTCTGCCTACAACCAGTGAGCCTGGAAGAGAACGCTGAGCCTCAGCAGACATTGCATCTAGGCCGACATGTTGATTATGGCCTGCTGAGACCCTGAACAGAGGATCCAGCTCAAGCACGATGACCTCTCACCCAAGAAAACTGTGAGGTGGCAATGTATGGAGTTATAATCAACTAACTTTGTGGGAGCTTCTTATGCAGCAGTAGAAAATGAATACAATAGGTAATGATAATAAATATAATAAATATAGCAACACTAGATGATAATATTCAACACTTAGTATATGCTAAAATTTTTCAATTGCTTTATCTCATTATTCTTTATAGCAACCCCATAAATTTGACTCTATCATTATCCCAGTTTAATTAATGCAAAACTTGAGGCTTAGGGAGAAGTCACAGAATGGAGGGGGTGACAGGGAAAGGATTGAGCCCAGGTCTAGGACTTTGAAGACAGAGTCTGACCACTAGGCAGTGAGACCTGCTCTACCTCTACCTCAACCCTTAGTGCCCTCAGTCGTGGAGTCTCCACCAAGGCCAGAGTCAGCAGAGCCTCAAATGGGTCATTATATCATTTCCTTTCTTTGCACTCCGGGGGTCTCACAGTCAGTTGGGACAGTATGGCCTCTGGGAGATCAGATGTCCCCAGGCATATTCTGGCCTAGCTCACCTTTAGAGCCACCAGCTCATCTTGGTTTTCCCAGGACTGTCCCTGTCTTCCAACTGAAAGCCTCTCCTCCCATGAAATCTCTTAGTCCCAGGCAAACTATGATGACTGCCCTCTGTCCCAAGCCCAGGCTGAGGTAGTCTTTGAAGCCACTTCTACCTCACAGTTTGCAAAAACCTTTCCTTTCTGATGCCCACTAGGACGTTTGAGTCCTGCTCTCTCCAGAGAGCTAAGAGCAGAAGCAACTCTACTTAAGTGATTGGAACCAAGAAGCTTCTGCTCGTTGTTGTCTGGCAAGAAACCCCAAGTGGGATGTTAGTCTGACCATCAGAAGGCCCAGGAAATCATGTCCACATGGGGGGACCATCAGAAGGCCCAGGAAATCATGTCCACACAGGGGTTTTCCTGTGAACTGAGAAATCTGCTTACCTTGAGCATCACGCATGAAGCACATCGATCCAAACATCGCACAGACCAGAGTCCATTTTCCATTCACTCCACTCCCCAAGCAGGCAACTTTGAGGAAACGCGGGAGAGGTTGGCCCCTGGATTTGTCTCATTCTTCCTAAGATTGTGACCATAATGAGACTCAGCTGGGGGGTGACAAGGACTCATCGATTGCTGCTCACCTCAACTGGGAGTTCAATCCTCATGGGTTGCCTCTCCTGTGGGAACTGGCTTCTCTCTGTCGAGAGTCCCGAACTCTTGACCACACCCAGCTATCTTCTCAAGTGTGACAAGGGACACCGTGTGTGTAATGGTTGGACCACCATGCATCCATCCTCAATATGGGAAATGGCTCTACAGATATATTTTATTAACTATTGCCAGCCAGTGATTTATAAACTCATCCATGCATTTATTGATTTGTTCAACCAATAATTGGGGGCCCCCACAATGGCCCTGACATTAACCTAGGCTCTGACACTGAGATACAGCCCATTTTATTTTATTTTATTTTATATTAAATATTCATTTATTTCTGACAGAGAGCATGCAAGCAACGGAGGGGCAGAGAGAGAGAGTACAGAGGATCTGAAGCAGGCCCCTGTGCTGACAGCAACGAACCCAATATGGGGCTCAAATTCACGAACCACAAGATCATGACCTCACGCTCAACTGATTGAGCCACCCAGGAGCCCAACAGCATATTTTAAGCAGAAATTATATGATAGGTGCTGGGCATGATGCTAGCACATAAAGATACCAACCTAATCCTCATGAGATGTGTGGAGGATTCTTAAGGAAGTCCACAAAAGATCCTTAAGGAAGTCTGTCTGTCAATAGGAAGGATAGTGTGGGAGCTTTTTAGCTTTGTTTTTGTTTTGACATGTCTCCACAATTAACCCCATTAAAACACTGAAAGTAAACATGTCTTAATCTCATAAAACTCACCCCACCTGTCCCCTACAATATATCACTTTACAGGACATCTGTCTGAGTTCCAAAATAGCTTGAGGCAGGATGCCTGCGATGTGACAGTCTCCGAGCTTGGCACAGGAAAAACAAAATAAATGGGACATCAGGGATATTCAAGAGCTAATGATTTAGTGGGGAAAGGCAACACATGCTCATAAACATCTTTCCATTGTAATATGGATTTGCTGTGGTTGAGATGTTCAGAGGGTGCTGTGGGAGGTCAGAAGGCAACACCAGACAGACCTAGAGTTAGGAAAGGCTTCCCAGAAAGGGCCATGTTTCTGCTGTGTCTCTTCTGGTTCTTTGTTGAGTGGTATTTATTTGGTCATCAAGAAACTTCAAATAATACATGAAAATATAAATACAGAGTAAAACTTACCCCCAAATCTCTTTAGCACAAGATAATCCTACTTGACATTTTAGTGAATGCCCTTCCAGGCACATGTGTGTAAGGATAGTATATTTTTTATTATCATCTTCGAGGTTGAAGAAATGAGATGAGTTGTTCAAATGTAGCAATAACCCCACAAAAAACTCAACCACCAGCCTGAAACCTGTCTCGGTGTTTTATTTTAGGAAAACATAAATGGTCACAAAACATCTTCAGAAAGTGGGATAACTCAAGAAACATACAGAACGGGTCTGAATAAGAAATACGGGGCCACTGCCATTCTCAAGGCAGGGAGCAGACACAAAGTTATTTTCTTCCAGGGAAAGCAAGGTTAACTTAAGCTGTGGAGCCCAGATGGTCATTAGATTTACAGCGGTCTGAAGAGGAGCTGTATCTTTTCAAGGGTTGAGTAATGATGACTTTAGGTATTGATCAGATGAGAGCGCTGACCCTGTACTCAGCAGAGAGTCAGGGGATGAGGAGTAGAGGGGAGATGGTGGTGGTTATGGTCTTTATGTAGTTTTCGAAGTCACTTCCGAAAAAGAGGATGAGGTAATAGTTGAAGATGCCAGCAAGGGACATGAGGAACAGGAACAGTATGATTCGCTTCCCAAATATGTAGCCTGGTGTGCTGGATAAGACAGAAAAAAGTAGAAGTGGCAAATGAGGTCGATTTAGCAAAGAATGTCATCACTTTGAGATACAAGGGGTTTCAGTCATAGTTCCTTTTACTCAGGAATGCTCCATTTACTTCATATGAAGAATGGAAGGGTCTCCGCTGTTATTAGTCACTGAACATATTTCAAAACCAAGCTATGAGAGCATAGACCCCAGACCCCATCATCGTAGGGCTCAACTATACAGCTTCTCTGAATTCTCCCAGTTTCTTTCTGAACTCCAGTTCCCTGAGGGTATGAAGGTGGTGGGTTTTGTGGGTCATCAGGCATTCTGACCCAGGGTTAGGAACCCCAGTGACTCTTCCAGACCCTTTCTGCAGCCACTCTGCTCCAGGAGTGCCTGTGAAGCTATGCTGGCAGCTGCATCTAACACAGGACTGAAGTACCTCTCCGAGAGAGGGCCAGGTTTCATGAACCAATAAAGCTACTGGAGTCTAAAAGGTGCTTCATGATCCAAGGGTTCAGTGTCTTCTCCTGAGGCTGCTTGGGAATAAGTTGTGTTCACACTAATGAAAGTTTGCACCTGTAGCAGTGGAAGACAGGTTCTTACATTTTAAGTGGATGGAGGAGGGGGAGAGATGTTTTAGTACATTCATATTCTTCTCTCAAAGGCTCTAAATCCTATGCTGCTTAGGCAAATCATCAGCTGGGGATCAAGAAGCACCTCCCCAGGGATATGTGACTGCTTAACTATACACAGCGGCTGCCCTTCCTTCCCTCTGCACGATCTTTCTGTGACCACAGTGTCTGGGTCCACCTGGGTAGCACTAGTGCATTTGGAAAGTCCAGCCAAATGGCTCGTTAAGGCTATAAGTAATGACCCCACTGAGGGGACCCTTTGGCAATCAAGACTGCTCAATGAGAACAGCCAATCAGCTGAACAGTGCTGCTGAGAGTCATGTTTTTTGACATAATCGAGAGGGCAGATTTTGGCATCCCCAGGTTCAACATTAGCTATTACATCTTTTTGAAATGGACCCCAAAGGTTCCTCATGTAACTCCTAGCTTTCCTGTGTCAAGAAAAACGTCCAGCAATTAAACTATTCCCTTGCTACTCAAAGTGTGGGCCATGGACCAGCAGCAGCAGCATCCACGAGGGGCTTGTTAAGAAATGCAGAATTGCAAGTCCCTCCCCGGATTTACTGGATCAGGATCTGCATTTCGGCAAGTCCCTCCGTGATTCACAGGCCATTAACATTTAAGAAACATGACCAGCTGACACAGCCCCTGCTCCTTGACCAGCTGCACTCTTCTCTCCTTGTTTCTCTGTTCACAGTCTTGCTCATGAAGTGAGACATCTTATCTCTTTACTGGGGAAAAAAATATGCTCTCTAAAGAGAGCATTATGGGCTGAATTGTGTCACCCAAATTCATATGTCGAAGTCCTAGCCCAATTCCTCAGGACATGGCTGTCTTTAGAGACAAAATCTTTATAGAGGTAATTAAAGTAAACATAATCAGCAGGGTGGATACTGACTCAATGGGACTGGTGTTCTTTTAAGAAGAGAAGATTTGGACATGGACACAGGCAGAAGGAAGACACAGGGAAAAGATGGTCACCTATGAACCAAGGAGGGAGGCCTCAGAAAAACACAGGCAACCAACACCTTCATCTCAGATTCTTAAGCTCCGGAGCTGTGAAACCATCAATCTCTGTTGTGTGAGCCACATTGTCTGCAGTACTTGATTATAGTGTCTCTGATAGACAAATACAGACAGTTACCTGCTAATGCTGATAAGGAAGTAACAGAATCTAAGTGAGGGCTATTTTTTAGTCAGAGAATAGAGGGTTCAGAGAAATTAAATTGTGAAAAGTCAAACATTGTGGTGCCTCAGATTTATCACACGAATGAGGCCACCATATGCTCATTACAGAAACAAGAAAAAGTGATTTGCAAAGCTGTTTCAGAACGCGCCTGAGATAAATCTGTGGTGAAGGATGAAATGGCAGTGCCTGCTGCTGAAATCATGGTGTTTTTGACTTTGGGCAGCATTTTTCAAAGGTCTCAAGTCATACTGCCCCCAGGGAGATGGCTGTGTGGTGCCTTAACTCTTTCCGTACCACGCAAAGGGTATGGAAGGCAGGAGTTCAGCACATGCCCACCACCTGCAGGACTAAGTGTGAATGGGGGTCTGCACCTCAGGCACTTCCTTAGCCTCATTTTGAAATCTGTCAAGACTGGTGGTGGGCATGGTGTGGCATGTGGTGGGAGCGGTGTGCGCAGGCTCAGGAAGCTCCACGAAGAGTGTAGGAGGAAGGGACAGGAGTCCCATGGGGCACACGCTGCGTAATTAGACTTTGAGACTCAAGGCATCTCCATTATTGTCTCTGAAAGTTAATACAGAGTTCTCTCTACATGGGGTGGGGAAGGTCAGAATTAAAGGAAGCCTCAGAGGGACCAGGCATATTATATCTGTGACTTCATTTAATCCTCAGATGTGAGGTATTGATAACCTGTTTTCCAGGTGGGGAAACTGAGAAGAGACAGGTGGAATGATGTGCCTGAAGTCACACAGCCAGGAAGAGGCAGAGTGGGAATTCAAACCTGTCCGTGGGAGGCCAGAGTCCTGCTCTTCTACCTTACTGAAGGCTCCTTTGGGTTTTGGAGACTAGGATTGTATTGTTAGTTTTGGAAGAAATGTATCCCCCTATCTTACATACACAGCATAAAACCTATGTGAAAATATACAAGAGGCATTATGACAGACAATTCCCATCTCGAATGTGCCTAACACTTCAAGGAAGGGGAGGTGTGGTGTGAGATAGCTGAGGCCTGAGCTCCAGCCCCAGCTCAGGGCTGTGTGACCTTGGGCAAGTCGCTGACCCTCCGCTGCCTCACACAAAAATATAATCAAAATGTGGGTGGAAAAAAAAACTTTATGATCCCATCTGGCGTTCAAATTCTGTTCTTTTCGGTAAGGAAATGTCACTTTAAACCCAGTAACTTCTAAAAGGAATAAAAATTATAAGGCCCATGAGAACCATATATTGTTTCTTCATTCACCCACATATCTCCATAAATCAGGCCCTCCAGAAAGTTTTGTCAAATGAATCATTCTTTAAAAAGAGGCACATGGGAGGCGTGGGTGGCTCCGTCAGTTGAGTGTCCGACTTCGGCTCAGGTCATGATCTTGCTGTCCTGGAGCCTGTTTCAGATTCCGTGTCTCCCTCTCTGTCTGCCCCTCCCCAGCTCGTGATCTGGCTCTGTCTCAAAAATAAATAAACATTAAACAAAAAATAAAACTAAAAAAAAAAGAAAAGAAAAGAGGCACAAATCACCTTTAGTTATTCCCACATTGTGTGTAGAAGTTGTTAAAATGTATATTCCCAGACTACCCTAGAGATTCTGATTCCATAATTCAGGGTGGGACCAGGAATCTATATTTTTAACAAGCACCCCCAGACAATTCTGGTGCAGTTGGTGGTTGGGTGGTGGGTTTCACTTTAGAAATACCAGCCTTGATACCCATATACTCACCCAGGGGTTCCCAGAAAACACATTCATTCTCTAACTCTGGTGAAGTAACCCCATAGTCCACATTTGGATTGGGGTTGGGGAGGAAGCGATTCTAAAATATTGACACTAAAGGGGAAAGTGATTGTGAGGGATCAGCACTTTTGAAAATTGTGCCCATAATTGTGTCTACGAGTTTAGTATTTTTGGTCCTGCTCCTGACTCTAGCAGACCCCGGGTCTTTTTGAGGACAAGAGTTCTGTCATGTTTATTATCATCTCAGCAAACTGGCTCTTACCTCACTGGAGACAGGAGGTCAGGAAATATTTTCTGAGTGGATGCTGAGTGAATGGGGAGTGAATGAGCAATCAGTAAAGGTTATCTTTGTCTGTCCACCACTGGGTTAAGAACTTCAAATCACACAGACGAATTTAGTGGGATCCCCAACAAGAAACAGGGCTCTGAGGGATGGGAAGAGAGAGAAGTTTGGTACCAGCTAGGATAGGTAGACGATAAAAGTCAGGTAAAGGTAGGGGAGCACCTGGGTGGCTCAGTCTGTTAAGCCTCTGTCCCTTGGTTTTGGCTTAGGTCATGATCTTGTAGTTTGTGGCTTTGAGCCCCATGTTGGGCTCTGTGCTGACAGCTCAGAGCCTGGGACCTGCTTCAGATTCTATGTCTCTCTGCCTTTCCCTTGCTCATGCTCTCTCTCTCTCTGTCTTTCAAAAATAAATAAATATTTTTTTTATGTTTTATTTATTTCTAGGAGAGAGAGAGAGACAGGGTGAGCAGGGGAGGGTCAGAGAGAGAGGGAGTCACAGACTGAAACAGGCTCCAGGCTCTNTTATTTCTAGGAGAGAGAGAGAGACAGGGTGAGCAGGGGAGGGTCAGAGAGAGAGGGAGTCACAGACTGAAACAGGCTCCAGGCTCTGAGCTGGCAGTCAGCACAGAGCCCGACACGGGGCACGAACCCACGAACCGCGAGATCATGACCTAAGCGAAAGTCGGACACTTAACCGACTAAGCCACCCAATAAATAAACATTTTAAAAAAGTAAAGTAAAGGTAGATGATAAAAGGCAAGTAGTCTTGTAATATAATGCCAACTGCCACTGAGTTTGGGACCTGATAGTAGCTTAGAATGAGAGGGGAAGAAACTAAAATTCATTTTTTTTAGAGTGAAATAGTGAGCAGGGAGAGGCAGAGAGAGAGAGAGAATCTCTAGCAGGCCCCGTGCTGTCAAGAAAGAACCTGACACAAAGCTTGATCTCACGGCCCTGAGATCTGAGATCTGAGACTTGAGCTGAAATCAAGTCAGATGCTTACCCTACTGAGCTACCCAGGTGCCCCTAAAATTTATTCTTACTTTCATGTGGTTTGAGATGCTACAAACTACCTAATTAAACAGGGAGGAAAGGGTCAGGGACTAGGATGTAGGGCTGAGAATAAGACTAATGAGTTTCTAGGAGGGACAAAGGTGGGGTCTCCAAAATCCCAGAAGGAAGAAGCTTTGGGTGGGGGGAATATCCAAAGGAACGTCATGCCTACCCACTGTACCCAAAATGACATGAGAACTTCTGAAGTGGATAGGGCCAAAATAACTTCTGGGGGAGTAGGGAGCAAAGATGATTGACAGCTCAAGGGAGAAATTCCTGGAAGGGTCTCCCTGAGCAGAATCTTCCTCTATTGGTGAGCCCAATAACTAAAGCAGATCCTGAAGACATTAGAGCATTTGCAGAGTCCGAGTGTGACACAGGCCAGGGATGGAAGTGGGTGACTGAAAGAGGGGATCCACAGTGGAGGATGGTGTTAGTACATAGTTTCTAGAAGGCAGAATTGAAAATCCTCTTGGACCTAGCCATAGAGGCTCTCAGACTTGCATCTACCCCAAAATGTATGTTGGTCTAAATTAGGATTAGACATTTCATTCTGTATATATCATTTCTCCTGATGACAGTAGCTCCGAACTCTGTGTTCAGAAGCATTGTGAGGCCACGTTTGGTCTCAGCAGGAAGGAGTGCCATGATGGATTAGTAATGAAAGCTGTGGTGCAGGAGAGGTGAGAAGGCTCTAAAAGCACCACGGACAGTGGTAAAGGGGCTGCTGGGGTCTCACAGGGAGACCAGACCAGGATTTAAGAGGTTAGGCAAACTGCATTTCAATGAGGTCCAGGGAAGTCTATCCAGTATTTTTAAGATTTTAAGTCTATATCTTATTAGTTTTTGTCACCTCGGCTCATTCCCTAACAGTGACCTTTACAATGAAAAGAGCCTGTGGGCAGATCAACAAATTTTGTCATTCTCCACAGACTGTTTTGGAATCAAAGCAACTGTAAGATCTCACATGAGTGGTGACAGACGAGAACAGTGACTGGGCCAGACCCCTGAGACTCTGGAGGAAGACAGGGATGCAGGAGGCACCCAAAAGATCAGAAACCCCTTATTTCACTGATAGACATGCCACCATTCCTCACCTCTTGACAACAGGTGATTTCCTGGGGAAAGGCAGAATAGAGGTTCTCCACGGTGGAAGAGAATAAAGAATATCATTTATGACAGTGTTGATAAGGGTAAGAGAGATAATGGATTTGTGGTTTTCAAGGGTAAATAAGAACCCCACTAGAGAGGAATGAACAGCAGACCAGCACAGGAAAGAATCAGTGAAAGAAGAGTCATTCTTTTCCCGGCTGCAGCTTGCCATCAACCCCCAGCCCTGAGCCATTTAGTTCCACAGACTCCCATGGTTCCCAAACATAATGCTGTCACCTGCAGACCTTCGAGGATGTCAATGCCTTTGTCAACCCTGCAGGTTGTTATCCAAACGGAGAATTCATTAACCACAAGAGGAGGGTGCTATTTTAAGAGACAGGGAGGGGCGTGAAACTAGACAAGGGAGAAAAATGGAATGGAAGGCTGGGATCAACACTCGGGCAGCAGCCTTCCAGAACACATGCCTGGCTTCTGGAACCCTCCTGGCACATAAAGAATTCTAAGGAACTGGGGATGCCTTCGTGGCTCAGTCGGTTAACTGTCCAGCTCTTGATTGTGGCTCAGGTCATGATCTCAATGCTTCATGAGTTAAAGCCCCCATCAGGCTCTGTGCTGACTATGCAGAGCCTGCTTCAGATTCTCTCTCTCTCCCTCTCTCTCTGCCCCTCCACTGCTTGCTTTCTCTCAAAAACTAAAATAGTAAACTAAAAAAATTCTAAAAAAGAATTCTAAGGAACAGGTGGCAGACTATAACTCGAACATGTCTTCTGTAAGTATCCTCATTTATTTTATGGAAATCCGGATTTTCCAATCCGGGTGTAGCCACAGTTATAGCTGGGGCTTTCCGTCTGGGGATTTCCTTCTGGCAGCATCTATAAGCAATGCCATAGGGACTCTATTCAAGGACTCCATCCTCTGCGTGTTCTTGCATCCTATTTTTGCAACGTTCTTCCTGCTGGTCCCTGGAAGATCTGTTACTCAAAAGAACTGATCGCAAGGTGCAAGCTTTAGTTCTCATTTCTCTAGGCAAACAATGAAACGCTTCATTCACCGGAGGCCTTGGGAAGCCAGACACAGAAAGTCATTCAAGGCCCAGACTCTGAAGGGTGGGAGTAAAGGGGGTGGGGTGGCAAGAATGTGCAGAGTGCCGCATTAAAGTATCCTTTGTGGGACTGATGCCATGTGGAGGAATTTGTTACTGGGCACTCGAGTCAAGTTCCCTCAGCTATATTTACCAAACCCACCAAGTTCAGGGGAAAAGGAGGAAGAATATTAATTAGCCTTCACCCTCTGGCCCCAAGTGACCGCCCCAGAACCTTAAATCTTGGGCAGAATATGGTGATGAATAATCACTCTTCTTGCTCAAAAAGTGTGGCTCACACCGTGGTTCTTGAACAGTCCCAGGGGCCTACCTCTGAGTTCTCTCCCCTAGGTAGCCGACGAAGTACTTTTGTCTCACGAACAGGTACATCAGTCCAGCAAAGGCAGCGGGAACTAAGTGGAGAAAGGGAAACACCCGTGTGAGTTTCACAGACACCAGAGTGTGCCAAGTTATCATAATAGAAACACGGTCACTATACAACTATGTTGGTCACAAAATCTAGCAGAAACCTCAAGCACTGGCAGCTGGGGTGGAGGTGAACTTCAGCAGAGGCCCAGGGCTGGTAGAAACCTAGGACCTTGATAATAGTAATGTTACTTTCTACGGGCATTGTGGTGCAGTTTACAAAGTGTTTTCGGGCCCATCGTCTATTCTGAATCCTTGCACATGACTAGTATCACTTTGCTTATGCATTTCAGGGGTCAAGGAGCTTATGTAAGACTGTCAGGTGGGAATAGGTGGTTTCTGTGTGTGTGTGTGTGTGTGCGCGCGCGCGTGCTTGTGCGTGTGCGCACATGTGTGATGTGACCCAGGGCACAGGGTGGGGAACCAGACCTGAGCCCCAAGCCCAGCTCTAAGTAGGCTCTCTTAAAAGTATACCCTTCCCTTCTCAGCCACCAGGCAGTGCAACCCTCGACCTTTTCTGAATGATTGCTGTCAATTCAGAAAAGATCTCTAGGGAAGGAGAATCCCTCTGCCTTCTAGTCCCATGAGGAACAGCGGTGAGCAGCAGGAGTCCTGAACCTCGAAGGTGAGAGTTAGAAAACCCAACCCCACCAGGACCATTACGGTCAGGAGCTAATACTTAACTCACTCTACATCTGGACAAAGAGCTGATTGTAGCTCAGGAATAATCATGAGGGTGATACAGATGCATGGGTATAAAAGCACTCTGAAGACCTCCCAGCAATATTCAAATGCCAAATTAATTGCATTGACAGAGTGCTTTTTATATCTCAGGCACTTTGAGTCCTTGGGTCTCCAGGCCTCCCAGCCACCTGGCAACGAATGCATTACTGTCACCATTGAGTAGATGCAGAAATTTAGGCTCAAGAAGTCAGTTTGCCCAGATTCACTTACTGGATCAAAAGACCCATGAGAACACACATCTTTGGCTAGCCAGCACCTCTGTGCTTGGCATAGTGCCTGGCACATACTGGTTTTCAAAATTATTTGTTAAGTGAATTAATAAAAATCAAGGAAGCCAAAGAAAAGATTGTTAAAAAGAAAACCACAGAGCCACAATGGCATCACTTAGGCCAAGCCCCCAAACTATGCTTCATATCTAATCTAATAGCAATTTCAATCCCCCACCCCCCGAAATGCAGTCTTAACCTGTAGTCAAGAATTTTCTGATCTGAACCAATACACTCATTGGTCACATGGGTCCTCTCCCACGTGTGGAAGATGAGGTCTGCAGAATAAGATCTCCTCCTCTCTCCTCTGAAGGAAAGCAGCCATGTCTGGAATGTTCCTTTTCTTTTGCTAACAACTTTCTTACCTCCCCCTCCTTCCTATAAAAACCTCCCATTTTGTACAGTGCCTCTGAGCTCCCCTCTTGCTTGTTTGATGAGATGCAGGATTTATGAATCCCTTAATGAAACCAATTAGATCTTCAATTTTATTCGGTGGAATTTTATTTTATAACAAGGTGGCATTTGAAACCAAGTTTGTATAATTTTAAAACCATGTTACCACCACCATTACCATCCATCAATAATCACACTTCTTGGGCTTCTATTGTTAGGCTGAACTATATGAAACTGCCATTTTTGTGGGTCCTAAAACGGTTAGGCATCAGAGGTTTTATATGGTTCAACTTATATATACCATGCATTGTGTCAGGAGCTTTATGCACATTCTCTCACTTAATCCTCCTGGGAATTATTCCTGCTTTACAAATGGGGTAACTGAGGTTTAGGAAAGATGAGTGAATAGCAGCCCAGGGTTACACCAGCAATGAATGTTCTCACCATTGTCTCCCAGGGCTTCTGAGTGGCTCATTTGATTAAGCATTTGACTCTTGATTTCAGCTTAGGTCATGATCTCACAGTTCATGAGTTAGAACCCAACATCGGGCTCTGCACTGACTGTGTGGAGCCTGCTTGGGATTCCCTCTATCTTCCTCTATCTCCCTCCTCTCCCCTGCTCATGCATGTGCTCTCTCTCTCTCTCTGTCTCTCAAAATAAAGAAAACATTAAAAAAAAACACAACTGTCTCCAGTCTGTTAGTCCCCAGATCGTCCCAAAATATTAGTGTTATGTGACAGATAAGAAAACCAAAACACAAAATAAACCATGTATGAGGTTTATGCTATTATCTGAAGGTCACAAAACTGTCACAATTCACAACCTGCCCTGAGTAACGTTTTTCCTGGTTTGTTCCATCTGGATGGCTCTGCTCTAACTTACCAGCCAGTCTCTTTTAACAGGAGCTACACTGAAAATGAGCTCGCAAGAGTCAGGAGTGGAAAATGGCTGTGCTCAAACTCCTGGACCCAGGAGGAGCACAGTGGGTTCAAATCTGGACTTGAAAATTTAGAGGTTGAGCAAACCACTCGCCCCTCTGGGGCTCCTGCTTCTCTAAAGTGAATACTCTGAGCTAAAATGATCTCCGAGGTTTCTTCTGATGAAACAGTTCAATAATTTGCTATAGAGCATAAGAAATGACGATGATCAAGGCGCCTGGGTGGCTTAGTCGGTTAAGCGTCCGACTTTCGCTTAGGTCACGATCTCGCGGTTCGTGGGTTCGAGCCCCGCGTCGGGCTCTGTGCTGACTGCCAGCTCGGAGCCTACAGCCTGTTTCAGTCTGTGACTCCCTCTCTCTCTGACCCTCCCTTGCTCACACTGTCTCTCTCTCTCTCTCTCTCTCCTAGAAATAAATAAAAATCTTTAAAAAAAAAAAATGACGATGATCGAAGAAGGTTTACTGACACTTTTCTCCCCTAGCAATGCCAACATCTTTTTGGCAGAAGGCACATAGTTCTGAGGCTCTGAAACACTTTCAAACTCCCTTTGTATTTATCTAGCTAACAGAGCTCTAGATTCATCTAAATCAAGTATCATCTAAGACATAAAAAGAATATTAACTCCTTGTATAAGCATAATTTGACTTGATTTTTCAAGTTATGCCAGACATGTTTCTTATTTCACTCAGGATAGATAGTGGTAAGTAAATAGTGAGTAATAGCCTTATGGAGCACAGAAGGAGGCCACATGGTGTCCCTGAAGGAGTTTCTGCTGCCATCCCTCACCTCTGCTCTCTGTCCCTGCACCTGATTCTTTTCCTTCATGGCACGTCTCACTCACAGCAGTAATTTATCCATTCACTTGTTTCCTTTAGGTCATCTCACCCAGCGCTATGTGCTCCGCCACTGTCTCTTACTTATTACTGTGTATCGAAGTACAGGGCTTGTCATGTAGCAGGTGCCCAATGTCTATGCATTATGTACATGAATAGTGCAGAAAAGTACTGGTGCAAAATCCAGGATTTAGCCCCAAAGACCTGGGCTCTCATTCTGACTCTGTTATTCACCAGCTAAATAACCTTGAACAAGTTATCTTATCTCCCTAAACTCAAAGATAATAGAGGGAGGGGCGCCTGGGTGGCTCAGGGGGTTAAGCGTCTGACTCAGTTTCGGCCCAGGTCATGATCTTACAGTTCAGTGTTCAAGCCCCGCATTGAACGGTGTGGAGCCTACTTGAGACTCTCTACCTCTCTCCCCATCCCCAGCTCACTCTATCTCTCTCTCCCCATCCCCAGCTCACTCTCTCTATCTCTCTCTCCCCACCGCCGACTCACTCTCTCTATCTCTCTCAAGAGTAAATAAATAAAATTTTAAAAAGATAATACAGGCAGATAATATCCCCTCTACCAACTCTACAAAGTGGGAAAAGAGGATAAGGATTAAATGGTCCCTCAGAGGACACTAGTGGCCTTTTCTTACACACCCTGCCGGAGCCACACTGTGGCAGCTGGCCAGGTCATGCCAAGCCTCCACCAGGCACAGTGCCAATCTCCGAAGGGGACCAAAAAACATGACTCTGGTTTCCTTTTCATTTTAAATAAACCCTGGGAGTCAACCTGCTGTAGTCAAGACTGTGGGCGGCTGATAACCCCGGAGAAGGCTGGAGACCCGGAATCCGGCTCCTGGCTCTGCAGACACACACCCCACAGAGGACTTGCCATGCTGGAAGCTTGTTAGCAGAAGGGCAGAGTGACAGCAGTCCCAGAATAGATCCCTCAGGCGCTCTCATTTATAATGCCCTTGTATCTGAGCTAATGCTGCTTAAGGATTCTGAGTCACATTTAGCCTTAAACCACCCTTGTCAGTGCAGAAGCTCTCAACCAGCCACCAGGGAGCAAACATTAGCAATGTATTATCACACCCGCACCACCCAGGCACAGAGCATGCCTGAAACACGACTTCCCGAGGGTGCACACCTCTCCAGGGCTTCACAGGATCGGAGCTGGAGGTCAAGCAAAGTCTTTTCAACAAAAAGCCTGCATTTGAACATCCTCAAGATGGATGCTTAGAAAGAGAGCACACAAAGAGAAGCCTCAGTTACCTTACCTTGGCTGCAGAGTAGCCCAGCGCTCCAGAGCACAACAAGGAATGTGGGGTACGCGTCTACGCAGTTTTGGCTGTAGAATAAAAAAAAAATGAGAAGAAAAATCAGAAAACAGGCTACTGCAGCACAGTCTGAAAACTACCTGAACCCCCAAATTGAGAATCACCATCACACATGAAGGACGACCCCCATTTGTAATTCCACTTCCATCTACTGATAAGACATGGTTATCAAATCAGACATAGGCAAATACATGCTCAGAATCCATTTATTCCCTTCCTCAGTGAAACCAGTAGAAGACTTAGTTTTTTGATGGATTCGTTTTGGCAGGGTTCCGCTTCTGGCTGTGCCAAAGTGCTTCTTAGAATTGAAAAATGAGCAACACAGACAGCAGGGCTGTGGCAGCTGTCAGGATTGAGGAGGGAGAGTACAGGAGAGAGGAGCCCATCTGAGGAAACCTTTGTCAGACACACAAGTCAGCTCCGACCCATAGGCTAGGCTGGGGGGAAAAAGATGAGCTTCGAGTGTTAAAGAAACCAAGGTAGATTCAGAAAAGCTGCCACTCAGAAAGTCTCTTGCTGGGGGTCTGATCGAGGTGTGCAAGGCTCAGTCTTCACTCCACTGGAGGGGGTCTCACCTCACACTGACCACCATGCTGATATTTTGCACCCTTTGTTTCCCGTAAGCTCACCACAGTTGTGTAGGTGCACAGGGTGGCTGCATGCTCTTTCTGTGGCTGCTGAAATAAGTAGCCAACACCTTAAATCATCTGGAGGTCAGGAGTCCAAAAAGCTTTCATTGCGCCATGCTCAAGGTGTGTCAGCATGGCTGCATGACTCTAAGGAAGAATCCTCTTTTCCTTGCCTTTCTCAGCTTCTAGAGATCACCTGCATTCCTTGGCTTGTGGCCCCCTTCCAACCTCAAAGGCAGCAAAGGTCAAGAGAAGGCTTCCTGACACCCACTTCTCTGCCTCCTTCTTCCACATTTAAAGGACACATGTTAGGGGCGCCTGGGTGGCTCAGTCAGTTAAGCATCCAACTTTGGCACAAGTCATAATCTCATAGTTCATGGGCTTGAGCCACAGCAGGCTCTGTGCTGTGGATTCTGTGTTTCAAAATGCTTTGGATTCTGTGTTTCCCTCTCTCTCTGCTCCCCTATCCCCACTCACTCTGTCTCTCTCTCTCTCTCAAAAATAAATATTAAAAAAATAAAAAGAACCCTTGTGATCACATCGGTTCTACCCAATAATCCAGAGTAATCTCTTGATTTTAGCATTGGCCAGTTAGCAATCTTAATTCCTCCTTGCCATGTACGGAATATACTCACAGGTTCCCAGGATTGGAGTGGGAAGATGTTTTGGGGCTCTTTATTCTGTCTACCGCAATTACTCTCACTTTCCCATGAGAAACAGAGGTTTAGAGAAGCTGAGTAATGTGCTGAACATCGTCGAGCTACACAGTGGCAGAGCCAGGATGCACATCCTGCTCAGTCCAACTCTGCCACCAGACCTGTTAGCTCTCCGACGACACTAAAAAAATAGTGAATATCCTCTTGAAAAGTTTACAGTCTTGGTCAGCACAAACAATATGCACATCCACGTTGATAAAAGTCTTCAACGAAGTAGGGACAGATGGAACATACCTCAACATCATAAAGGCCATCTATGAAACACCCACAGCTAATATACTCAAAGCGGAAAAACTGAGGCTTTTTTGTCTAAGGTCAGGAACAAGATGGAGATGTACTAAGAAGTCTTAACCACAGCAGGCAACAAAAAGAAATAAAAGGCATCCAAAGGCAAGAAAGAAATCAAACTTTCATTATTTGCAAACAACATGATACTCTATGTAGAACACTGGAAAGACTCCACCAAAAAAATTGCTAGAACTAATACGAATTCAAAGAGACCCAGATATGAAATCAATGTGCAGTAATCTGTTGCATTTCTATACACCAATAGTGAAGCAGCAGAAAAAGACATCAAGGAATTGATTACATTTACAATTGCACAAAAAACAATAACATACCTCAAAATAAACTTAACCAAAGAGGTAAAATACCTGTACTCTGAAAAATATAGAACAGTTATGAAAGAAATTAAAGAGGACACAAAGGAATGGAAAAGACATTCCATACTCATGGATTAGAAGAACAAACACTGTTAAAATGTCTATACTACCCAAAGCAATCCATACATGTAATCAATCCCTTCAAAATACCACTAGCATTTCTCACAGAGCTACAATTTAATATCTATATGGAACCACAAGAGACCCTGAATAGTGAAAGCAATCTTGAAGAAAACAAAGTTAGAGGCATCAACATTCTGGACTTCAAGCTATATTACAAAGTTGTAGGCATCAAGACAATATGGTACTGGCACAAAAAAAGACACAGAGATCAATGGAAGAGAATAGAAAATCCAGAAATTGACCTACCACTACATGGTCAACTAATCCTTGACAAAGCAGGAAAGAATATCCAATGGAAAAAAGACAATCTCCAACAAATGGTGCTGGGAAAACTGAAAAGCAAGATGCAGAAAAATGAAACTGGACCGCTTTTTTACACCATATACAAAAATAAACTCAAAATAAAAGCCATCCATAAAATAAAAGGATGGAAGACCAGGAAGAAACCGTCAAAACCTAGAGGAGAACACGGGCAACAACCTCTTTGTCCTCGGCTGTAGCAACTTCTTACCAGACAGGTTGCAAGAAGCAAAAATGAACTATTAGAGCTTCATCCAGATGAAAGTTTTCTGCACAGTGAAGGAAACAAACAACAAAACAAAAAAGCAGCCTATAGAATAGGAGAAGATATTTGCAAATGACATATATGATATAGTGTTAGTATCCAAAATCTATAAAGAAATTACCAAACTCAACACCCAAAACACAAAAGATCCAGTTAATAAATGGACAGAAAGGGGGGGAGTGCCTGTGTGGCTCAGTAGGTTTAAGTCAGTTAGGTCAGTCCAATTCTTGATGTTGGCCTAGGTCACAATCTCATGGTCATGAGATCAAGCCCCATGTTGGGCTCTGCACTGGGCAAGGAAACTGCTTAAGATCTTCTCTCTTTCTCTGCTCTCCTTCATCCTCAAAAAAGAAAAGAGAAGAAGAGAAGAGAAGAGAAGAGAAGAGAAGAGAAGAGAAAAGAGAAGAAAGGAAGAAAGAAATGGGCAGAAGACATGTATAGACATTTCTCCAAAGAAGACATCCAGATGGCTAACAGACACATGAAATGCTGTTCAACATCACTCATCATCAGGGAAATAGAAATAAAAACCACAATAAGATACCACCTCTCATCTGTCAGAATGGCTAAAATGAACAATCTGGAAACAACAGATGTTGGTGAGTATGCAGAGAAAGGGGAACCCTTTTGCATTCTTAGTAGGAATGCAAATTGGTGCAGCCACTCTGGAAAACAGTGTGGAGGTTCCTCAAAAATAGAACTATCCTATGATCCAGGAATTGCACTCCTAGGTATTTACCCAAAGGATACCAAAAATACATTTTCAAAGAAGGTACATGTACATTATCAACAATAGTCAAACTATGAAAAAAGCCCAAATGTCCATCAACTGACAAATGGATAAAGAAGATGTGTTATACATATATACAATGAAATATTACTCAGCGATCAAAAGGAGTGAAATCATGCCATTTTCAATGATGTGGACAGAGCCAGAAGACATGCTCAGTGAAATAAGACAAGCAGAGAAAGACAAATGTCATATGATTTTACTCATATGTGGAATTTGAGAAACAAAACAGATGAACATATGGGAAGGGGAGAAAAAAGACCGAGGGAAACAAATCACAAGGGACTGTTTATGACAGAGAACAAACTGAGGGTTGATGGTGGGAGGTGGGTAGGGGATGGGCTAAATGGGTGATGGGCATTAAGGAGGGGACTTGTCATATTGAGCACTGGGTGTTGTATGTAAGTGATGAATCACTAGATTCTACTCCTGAAAACAATATTACACGGAATGTGAACTAACTAGAACTTAAATAAAAACTTGAAAAAAGATAAAAAAAATACTTGCACATCCATGAAAAAACAACTTTACAAGACACGGAGGCATGGATGGGGAAGTGCGGCAATGAGATAGACTGGAAAGGGCATGTACCAGGATTTAGTCTCTGACCTGATATTGACCATCTGTTTGTCAATGGCAAAATAATCACTTTGGATGTAGTTTTCTTACCTGGAAAACAAAGAGACATAATAATTCTAAGATCCACATAAGCTTTAAGAGTTGATGCTCCAGTGAGGTGGTCCTCAAAGTGTTGTCCCTGGATGAGTAGCATCAGAAACACCTGGGAACTTGCTAGAACTACAAAAGTTAATGCCCATCTCACACCTACGGAATTAAAAACTCCGGGGGTGGAACCCAGCAATCTGAGTTTTAACAGCCCCTCTAGGTGACTCTGAAGCATGCTCAAGTTTGAAAAACACTGGTCTAACATAATTCAAACTATACAGGTAAAGCAAAAATGCAATTTTCAAAATGTATTTGGCCTTTTGTCCAAATTCCTTCTTGGATTCTTTCTTGTGGATCCTTTCTGATCTGATTCTCATGACTTTCCTCCCAAATCAGCTATGAACCCTTATTCAGACTGATGGTGTCTCATGCCTCGGTGCTACCACTGAGAGCTCTGGAATGACCAAGCCTTGGTCCATCCCCTGCAGAGAACCCAGAGAGGGTGAGCCATGTCCCTGGCCACAGGAACTTACATGTCACTTTGATGATCAAATGATCCTCTACTGAAAAAGTCAATGAAATTAAAGGTAAGAAAATCAGTGTATCCTATCCTGGAATACAGACACAGGAGAGAACAAAGCCCCGCTGACCTCACTAGGCACACAGGGGTTTCACTGATCTAGTGGACACAGTAGTACTCATGTCAGTACTTCTGTATCTCATTCCCAAAGGGGGAGAAAAACAAAAGGGAAAAATATGAGTTCTTTTCTCCATGAACACATTGATAGTGTAGTGCATCAAATTGAACACAGCACAGGGAACTGTTGACAATTTCACAAACAGCTCAGAATCAGACCTGG